TACAAGTTCAGTTTTGATAGTGTTCAAAATCTCTTTTAACCGTCCGGAGCTGACGCCAACATAGTGTTACTGATTCGACACCATGTCTGTAAAATCCATTTAATTTAAACAATATAAGTAAAAATAGATGAGAAATGTTCAATACAAATTAGAGAAGAGAGCCATATTCAGTCAAGTCTTAGAGCTAATAATACTTTATTCAATTTATTATGTTAATTAAAGGGAACTAATTTCGATAAATCAAAATGATAGTATAAAAAACTAGTATAAAAAAGAATGAATTTCTGAGTTTATTTCAATAAAAATAATGCAAACTTGCAGATAATATAAAGAATGAATTATTTGACAAAAATTTATAATTGGATAGGTCCTCTTTCCTCTAACAGACCGATCGTTAGCTCCGGAGGATTAAACTTGAATGTACGAATAAATATTTAATGCAAATTAAACAAAACAACTTCTTTGAAAGCTCATAGAAAATATATAAGTTTCTTTATTTCCGCCGATTCATTTTATATATATTTTCGGGAACTATATTTGCGTTCTATACATTTTCTGTACAGCGAACAATATCGTTGCGCGGCAAGTATAAAAGGTGGGTAACATAACTAATCACTTTAAGGAACAACTGGAGTTCTGCGCGACGACGATATATTCATCTATCCATAAATCAACCGAAGCCCATTTTCATCGTCGGCGAGTCTTCACCCGTGTGGAGAAATTATTCGAGACGGTTTCTACGCGTTTCCGAACATCGTATACCAGTTCAACAATGGGCGAGGACTTTCCCGACGTAACAATCGACGGGCTTTTCAACTGACTCGAGACGATACACGCGGAATGCACGGCCGTCCCCCTCCCCCGGTGAAAGCGCGGAAAGAAGGTGGTTCGTAACCCGGATAGCCGGAGATACTTTCGAGAAGGCAGGAATATGCCGTGTTCCGATCTAGCCCCGCACCGACACACCTTGCTGCAATATAATTTTCTGACTAAATACTATATCCGCGATCGATACTTTTTCTCCATTATAAAGCGATATACAAGAAAATATCCCTTCCTCGTGTTTTGGCACGTACAATGACTCGCACACATTTATCTAAATGAGCATGTAATTATTTCTTCTTTTTACTCCAAATTTATGGTCTGAATGCTTATTCTAGAAGTCTTTGCGTTTTGTTCATTTATACTAAACTTAATAAAAAAAAAAAAAAAAAAAAAAAACATAATTTATACCTTTATTTGTCTATTTTTTTGTCTTTTGAACTCAATCGCTTTGCTAACGATTTTTATCGTCAAAAAAATTTAACCCGCAATACTTAGCTGTATCTGTATTTTGTAACTCTTAACGACAGTGTCGATATCATTGTATTGTCATTGTTATGTATTATATGTGATAAATAAAACAACTACGCAATGACAATATAACTAATTGTAGTAGATTAAAAGTTACAGAATACAGGCATTGGGATGATTTTACACCCAGTAGCAAGAAAATGAAGCTTAGTAATTCAGTTTTTTATATCTATTTTTTTCTGTTTCCTCTTACTTTCTTCAGAAATTATAAAAGTAAATCTATAATAAAAACTCCAATACTAATACACTGTAAAATAATCAAAATACACAATATACAATTAATAATAGTGACTTAATTGGAGTGTAAAAATCATAGGTGACCGTGAAAAAAATTAAGTGATTATTCTCCCGCGAGCTAATAAAATGAGAAAATTTCAATTCAAAATGCGGTCGATCTGGCATTGATGCATCAGCGTAAAATTGTCATTAATTAAGACAGCGCATTGCAGGAGATACTTACTCTAAGGTAGTTGAGAGTGAAGTTGGACATGCCCTGCCTAGTGATGTTTTTGCTAATCTGCTCAAGCATTGTCGGGTCCTGCTGCATGCTGACAACGCTCCTCGGAACCAGTTCTCGATGCGTCCTCACCGACATATGCCACGACTTTATCCTCATGAGATCGTCGAAGGTGAACTCCAATATTAACCTACCCTCCGTTAACACCTAAAATAAAGTTTTCAGATGACAATATTCGCTCCGGCTATTTCGAGGGCGCTTGACTTTTGCCCTGAAGAGAGTTTGCAGGACTTAAGCTTCCTGCTAGGAAACAGTTTTACAGAAATTACGGAGATCCAATTAAACTTTAATCCTTTCTATCTTTATGATATCTCTTTTTTGTTTTAAGAAAAGAACAATTGACTTTTCTAACGTGCCTACTCAGAATACCGGCACTCAGCAGTTTTTTACAGTGATATAATCTATATAAAATATATATTATATAAATATTAGGTTGAGTAAAAAGTCATCGCGTATTTTTTAGCTCAAAGTTGTATATACAATATCTTTGTCAATAATGAATAAAATTCAAATTTAAAAAAAAGGTTTTAAAGCTTGAAATCTCTACTTTTAAAAGCTTATCACATTTTTTAAGTTTATATGAGTTTAATAATTTTTACATACCAAAAACTACGAGCTGAAAAAGACGAAAAATTTTCTTCTCACTTTGTGGATTTGTAACGTGTCCAAAACGAATTTGAGAAAATTTTCGATTACCTATCGTGAAAGCTTGATACTTTCCCTACAAAATCGTTTTTTTTTAATATTCCTACGACTTTTGATTACTGAGTTATCGCGGATTAAATAAAAGAATTATTTTGACTTTAATTGCTCATAACTCCATTAAAAATTGTCGTATCGTATAATTTAAAAAAGAGATTTTTAA